CAACAACAACAACAACATAAACAACAAACAAACAAACAAAAAGCAACAACAACAACAACAACACCCACAACCACAACCACAACCACAACAACAACAACAACAACCACAACCACAACCACAACCACAACCACAACCACAACCACAACCACAACCACAACCACAACCACAACCACCAAACAAAACAAAACAAAAAGCAAACAAACAAACAAACACAGACGGACAGACAGACAGACAAACAAACCAACACAACACAACACAACACAACACAACACAACACAACACAACACAACACAACACACAACAACACAACACAACACAACACAACACAACACAACACAACACAACACAACACAACACAACACAACACAACACAACACAACACAACACAACACAACACAACAACAACAACAACAACACCAACACCAACACCAACACCAACACCAACACCAACACCAACACCAACACCAACAACACCACAGCAGCAGCAGCAGCAGCAACAAGCGGGCGACATTCTGGGCAACACCAAAAACCCTTGGGGCTGCTTTCTCAGCAGGACCCCACCCTCACCACCTGACCCACTTTCATTCACAAGCCAAGCTTCCGACAGTGTGCCTCTCAAGGGGCACCCACATGCGGGACCAGTGCTTGGGTCCAGAAATATCATCGGGGAGATAAGCTTCGTGCGGGCAGAGGCTGCATGTGGGGGCTGGGTACAAGTGCTGTCGGACCTTGTCGTAGAACAGCTTCGCCTGAGATGATCGCCAGTGTCCCGGGGCAAGGAGCTGAGCATTTCAACAACTCTAGTTCAAGATAGCAACAAGACCATGAGGGTGCTTGGATCATGACGCAAGCTAGGAAGTGGTCTTCTGAAGTTAGGAGGGTCAAATTGGGTTCAGCGTTATCGAAGGTTGGTGCGATCAAGAATGCAAACGTGGACAACAGGTGTGGACATACGGAACCAGTGCTGCATTGATCTTACTATGATCCTCTGGATTATGAAATCTATAATGCCAGTCTATTCATGTGGATCTACTTACCTATCTACCTGCCCACCTACCCACCTACCCACCTACCTACCCACTGACCTATCCATCCAGGGTTCTTTATTTGTTTTGACCTATCCATCTACTTCATCGTGAAACATCATATGCATGCGTATGTATATCAAAGACTACTTCAACCGTAATCTAGGTACATAGTGTGAACTTTGCAGTTCTACGTTCACAAAAAACGCATTCTGATACACACCAGCGCCATGAAATCTGTGGGCCAGAAGAGGGCTTTGTAGTTTTGTCCAGAATCAAATTCGGAACTCTCACTCGATCAACAATCTCAGAAACATGCGGGAATTGAGGCTGCTACAAGTAATTCGTTGGACCATGTTCATTGGGTTCGTCGACACTCCAATTCTGTGATGCGAGATTGGCAAAATGTCTTGCAACCTGGACAATCATGGGCCCTCATAGGCCCTGGCAGTCTCGTTCGCAAAGCATTGTCTTTGAAGGACATCAATGCGACTATTGAATCCCGTTCGAAGGTTTCTTTTCTCGCGTCTCTACTGGCCAAAGCGTGGTAGCGGTGTGGAAGATGGAAATCCCTGAAGTCCACAGATATTCGAACTTGGCCTTGTGGGCGATACTCTCATCACAAACAGTTGATACCCTTATCAGCAGCAGGTTCTACCATGGCACTGCACCCTCATTGCAGGGCACTGCACCTGGAATCCCAGAGATCAATGCTGGTTTCCCTACTTCCAACCATCAAATACACTCCGGGATTTCACAGCCACCACTATTCTTGGGGGAACACATTCCCAATTATACACCAATTATAAGTTATATAAGTAACTTATTTTGGACTATAATAAACTATTGATATTTCGGTGTATATTTTGGAGGTTTCCACAAAGGGAGCACCCCACTGGATGGTTTATTTCATGGAAAGTCCCTGGCAAAAATGGATGAGAACTGGGGGTACCCCTATGATTCAGGAAACCTCCGTATACCCTCTGGTAATTGAAGAGTTTGCGAACTGGAAAATGGCCCAGTCGAAATAGTTGATGTACCGAACTTAAAGATGGTGATTTTCCATAGTTAACCAGTGATTTTCCATTAAAAATTGCGATTTTTCCACTAAAAATTGTGTTTTTTCCACTAAAAATTGTGATTTTTCCACTAAAAACGGTGATTTTCCACTAAAATTGTGATTTTCCATGGTTTTCGTTGGATTATACCAATGGCTTTTGAACATGGACTTCCGGGCAAGGCGCCCGTGGCCCCATCCTTTGAGCCCACGCCTTGCGGCCTTGTGCCTCGAAACTCTGGCGGCGACGAAGCCCCGATGAAAGTGGCGGCTATCCCAAAAATACATATACATGCGTATATATATAATATATATATATATATACATTACATATATACATGATATACATATATATTTATATATACACATATGGATAATATGTATGTATATATAATATGTATGTATATGTATATATACATATATACTACTGAGATTTACTGGGTAAACTAAACCCACAAACACAAAGCCACTAAGCACAAACACGATGCGTGGGCTGATTCTCCGAGTATGAAGAAACGACCGGAAATGATTGGGAAATGACCCTGAAACCGTGGGGATTTTGTGTCATACAACAAATAACAGCGTGGAGGACAGTAGCGAAAAAGTAACAAACATGAGGTCTGGACTGGTAGCTGGGATGAAACCAAATCTCTGACAATGAGGAATAACCCCAAATGGACATGTAAGAGGAAAGATGGTGATAATCCAATGGAATTGTGGGTACCTTATTTTTGGGCGAAGCTATTTTGGAACAGCAACTGGCTGGCGGAGCAAGTTGTTGGAGAATGAAACGGATTCCATGGCCAGATGTTCGTCAAGATTGGGCCGTGTAGATATGAAGAAATGATGAACCCCCAACATGGCTACGGAATGATAAAACCGTCCAAAAAAGGACATCCACAAATAGGTCATAAATTTAGAACCCAAAATTGCCTCAAACCCCAAGTCGTGGATGGTTTCAGATCTTCAATAATGACTTTGGTTGGCCAGTCAGGTCCGGCACCAAAAAGTTCAGTAGAAGCTCAAAAAAAAAGATTAACAAGGCCACGCGTTCAAATCACCAAAATTTTGAAACCTAGAAATATGATGTTCTCTGAAGAGCCGGCTGGTTACGGTTTATGTTCCATTTATAGCAAAAAAACATGTCAGGATTCAAGTACCCATCCACGGTTGGGGATGAAAATATGCTTCGGGCTGCGATATGTGGGTAGTCCCTCCAGCGATCGTCTGGGCCCGTAGCGACGCTCAGGGCTCCAAGTCCTGGCAGAAGATGTGGATCCCAGGTAGGAAGCGGTTACTAGATATTAGTAGATGTTAACAAGTGTTAATAAGTGTCAATAAGTGCAAATAAATAGTTAATAAATGCTAATAAATGTTAACAAATGTTTAATAATATATATATATATACTGTATGTATATATATATATGTATATATGTATATATATATATATATCATCCCAAAAGTAGTCCATAATCCATAATCCCTGTCCAATCACTAAAATACAAGAAGTCTGACACCTTCTCCATCAACTCATGCACCTCCGAACCGGTTCATCGGATCCATAGGGAAAAATCACAATACTAGCAGTGTGTAGTGGATAGTGTGTAATGGACTATAAGTGTATGCATACCAGATATGTATATTATAGGTATATATATATATAATTATATATATATATATATGTGCGCGTGTAGGTTTCGGCTCAGGATTCCCCTCGCCGTTGAACACAGGGGTTTCTGAGTGCCATTACCTGAGCGGGCATTGCTGGCCCGCGGGACAACACCTTTCCGGTGATATTTGGTGTGTCCTTTGGGTACTTGGTTGTTGCTTGATCTATCTGACTGGGTTGATTTTCCCCAGACCTTTTCATTTCGGGCATTGTACAACTGAGTTTCCTGCGTGACATTTACAATCAAATCTGGCCTTTCGGTGGCCCTTGCCTGGCATTGTTATTTTCACCAACTTTCTGGCTCTGCGGTAGGCCGACTACCGGATTTTGTTGGTGGATTTGCTGGCTCTGCGGTGGCCGACTACCGGAAAATTTTATTTTTGCATTTGTATTTGACAATCTACACACTCAACTGCTACGCGCTGGTGTGAATTTTGTGGACAATCTTTTTGTGAACTGCACCGTGAGGAGGTTCACCTATTTGCAATTCAATTTACCTTTGTCATTGATACTGAACTGGCCTTGCTCTGGTATCATTTTACATTGGAATTTTTGCGTGATTTATGTGCTCAATTTTGTTGGTGCTGCTTCTATTTGTGGTAACATTTTCCACATTACAAGATTCCGTTACTCACTGGTGCCCAAAGGAGGAAACAGCGGCGACAAAGAGCGACCGCCAGGAGAAGCTGGTTTTTGCACCGCATTGGTCGTGTGCCTTTGACCAGACTTGCGCTCCTACGCATCAAGCAAACCCTTGGGAGACATCACTCCAAGGATCAGCAGTTTCTCAGAATCATCCAGAAGCAAATCACAATGGACACTCCAGAATTATTCCCCTGGAAGTGTACGCAGTGCCAACGCATCAACAAAAAAGTGGCGACCCATTGCGCAGTATGCCATGTACACTGGACAACTGGTGTGCGACATCAAACGGAACCCAAGCAGCAGACGTATCAAGCCACTGCGTACAGAGACGCATGGCCGACAACGCGTCGCTTCGATTGGGAGCAATGGGAGGAGTGGGAAGCCGACGACAAGTCTTGGAGTTGGCAAATGCCTCTAGATGGAGCTCAAAGTCGTTCTCATTCACAGAGCACGCACAATTCGCAAAGTCCCAGAGGCCGAAAAGGAAAGGGATCAGGAAAGACCAAGAAAAAAGGCAAAGCAAAAATGACAGAATCCCAGCAATCAGAAGGAAAAGGTGCTGGAAGCCTCAGCACATCGCCTTTTGCACCGCTGGCTCCGGAGATGCCTGCTTGGACAAGCGCCGAAGCATCCACTGGAAGCAATACGCCTTTTGCCACATCGACTTTCAATCCCAATACTGCAGAGCAGCTTGCACAGAAGAAAGAATGTGTAGCTGCATTACGTGCAGCATATCCAGATGGAAATACGATTCCATCAGAGACAAAAGACCTGATCGACAAGATGGACAAGGACATCGAAAAGATCGAAAAGGACAACAACAAGTTTGTCACAAAAAACATCCACTCTGCCACGAAGTCTCTTGGGAAGGCGCAGAAAGCCTTAACCGAGACATTGGAAGCCAAGAAAGCTCACAGAACCAGGTGGATCAAACACATCACCGAGGCTGTGACGACCTGGCAGGAACAACTGAAGGAATACCAGAAGCAACAGGCATCCCTTCAGGAAGTCATCACCAAAGCCAAGGAGGATATCGAACTGGCGAGATCAGCGATTCAGACGCTCTCATCCACAGCTTCACAGGCAATGTTGGCATCAATGCCACCCATCACACCTGTGACTGCCGAGCAGGAAGATGGAGCCACGGAAGCCGACAAAGAGGAAGAGAAGCTGCAGGGGCAACTTCAGACAGTCCTTCAAGATTGTGCAGCGGTGTTGAGCAGAGAGTGCACAACACCCACATTAGATGGGGAGGATATGGCTATGGACGATGCAGAGCGAGACAAAAAGAGACAAAGATCCATGGAGCCGTTTGGTGGATCTATCAAATCGTGATCTCGGGCGGTGTACATCCAGTGCAAAGGCATGATGTGCATTGCGCCATGACTCAGGTTGGAGTAGCTGATGCCTATGTACTGCCGCCATCAGTATGTGCAGCAAGCCATTTCCAACTTACAGAATTTGATCTCCATCGATTTTCCCATTGGCGACATTCGATTCAATATGAACCTAACTATCTCAATCCTTTTGAAGCGGTTTTATCTGCCTGGAAATTGGATTGGAGTGTCATTTGTGATCAATTCCATGATCACTATTTGCACTGCCAGAATTTTCTTTCCATGAGTATTGATCGGACCATTGACAAGATTGATCCTCCTCCTGCGTTTGAGCTCCGTGATACGTGTAAGCCCCGTAGTTGTAGTTTCTCTTGCATCCGATCTGCTTGCAAAGAAGTGTCACATACCAAACAGCAAGTTCGTTTTCATGATAAGATTTCGATCCATATTGGCCTTGATGACACTCTACACATGCATACCTCTCTCATGGACACATTTGAATTGGCTACATGGTCGGACAAACCGTGGGTCAAAAAACCTTCCAAAAAAGACTGTGATATGCATCCGAAGTCTTCAGACAGAAAGGGCCGTACCCGTAAGTGCCTGCAGTCGAATAGCAGTTGTGCTTTCGAACCGATCTTGTTACGAACCACCGATGCCTTTTACAATGTTCCATCTTCTTGGAATGCTGGTCAGAATGAAGAACCTGCAGAAAACCTCGAAGATCCAGAAGATGCCAATCATTTCTTGCACGAAGCACCAGAATCTGTCCAAAATTAAGTTGATGCGTTGCAAGCTGCAGGAGTTGTAGAAGGGCCAAGAATCCATGAGAGTATCTTTCTCAGAACATGGTTTGTGCATCATATCCATGCGCCTCAATGTTTCCAATATCGTGTGGTTGAAATCAATGGACATTGGAGATTGTGGTACCAAGACATTGTTGATGCTTGGAGAGACAGAATACAGCAAAATCAACAAACCATTTTCGACCTTGTTCATCCAAATCCGCCACGTACTGGTGACAACCATGAGTTCCTCTTTGATTTGATAGTTTCACAGGGAATTGCTGCTCCGAGAAGAGCCGGCCTTATTACTGTCCTACGAAGAGATGACAGAGATGCACGAGCGTCATATGCTGTCGCTGCTTCTCTCTCTGAACAAACAAGTGGTCACCAAATTGTACAATGTGCGGAATACCTACATGGATGCAATATCTATTCATGCACCATTAGACATGGACATGTGCACATTCCTTTCACGATGGAGCCCATTCATGCAACACAAGATGGCGATTCGTTTACAATTGGTGTAGCCAGTAGGGCGTCTGGTTCTAATGATACACAGCTTTGCCTTTCAACGCAAACACTGAATGACAATGTTCATGATTTCGATCCACCTCTGGAGGAAGATGAATCAGACGTACCCTCGCCTAGCCTTGCAAACAGCAGTCAATCTGGTGATATTCATTGCAGTGTGCATATCCATCGACTTGGACATCAACAAAGTCATGGAAGGATCAGATGGGATACAATTGACAATGTTCTTATGGACATCAGTCGTCTTTTGAACTTGCCAGTCGATGATTTGGTTGCATTTCATCACTTACAAACGAATCCGGCTGATCAAACTGAAGCCGAGAAATCCATCATTTTACAACACGTTCTGGACATTCCTGATGGTTCAACTGAGAAATTGGTGCTGATTGATATTGAAATGCATCTTCCATTCAGACCAGGAACTGTGCCAAGAGCGCCACCAGTGCAGCGCCAAGTACATAGAACAGTACCCACGATCGTTAGACAACACGTTCTCATGATGACCCACACTGCTGGCTACTGTGCTTGGCACCCACAAAACTGCATTATTTTTCATAATCATCAGGTTTGGACTCAACAGGATATTGCGCCCAGGCAAATTGAGCATGGTGCGTACCTCCGAATCATTGTTCCACCACCATTGGACAACACATGGGACATTGCACATGCTCTCCGAATTTTCCATGAAGCCTATGATCTTTTTGAGCCGACAGCTGCTGGACGCATTGCCGTGGATACTATGCACAATCTCATCAGACCTCAGCGACCAGCTGTACCAGATGGGAGTAATGACGTTGATCATTTCCATGCCATGCAACTGAATACCGAAAAATTGCCACTGCTTGATCCTGTGTTGGATTCCAACAGTAGTCATGCCGATTCTATCATCCCTGAGGATTGGATCATTGACTTACAGAGAGTTGTACAAGTACATGTGGACACTTGTCAAGAAGAAACACAGGATGCAATGGTTTTTTCAGTTCATACATGGCTCTTAGATCACCAATCACAACGCCTTTGCAGAGGCTCCAAGTTGGTCTTCCTTGACGACAATCCAGCTGATTGGACTGAGGATGTCATTAGACCTTGGAGGCATCTGATCAGACCTGAGGATCCTGTCTTTATTGATATTGTGCTGCCGACACCACCTACCTCAGATCTTGAAGATCACTTAGCACACATCATTTTGACGCAGAGACCATCGACAGAATCGTCTCTTTTGATTTCTATGAATTTCAAAGGGGATAACCCACCAGACGTTCTCATTCGTGTTGCCACTGTCGTGCCGAAGAAATGCACTGTAAATGATGTCATGCATGCGACACCACTTCTTGCACTGTATTGCACTTTGGTCACGAGCTAGCTTTTCGTGGGAGCGTGAACCGCCCACCGCGGAATTCATTTCATGGTTTGTTGACCACAGAACCTGGTTCCCAAGATGCTTGGAGGGTAGGAGGCTAACTCTCGCTGGTAATTTTGCAAACTGGGAAGCCATTATCAAAGCGGTCTGGCATGACATGATTGATCCTGATCAGATCCATGAAATGTATGTCATCATCCCACCGAACTTGGAAAGAGGTATTGCTGGTCATATACTGATTGTGCAAGCACCTCATGTATCATGGATATCTGGTCTTGTGACTGTTTATGATAACTTCATTGGAAGAAGATCACAGCACATGACAAGACTCGTTATTACCACGGCTGAACACATTCACATTGAGCATGTCGTTAGTAGCTGTGGTTACGACCTTGCACAAGGACGACTTGATCCCAACATTCCAAGTCAGGTGTGGATTGATGGACATGAATTATTGCCTGGGCACCCTTGGCCTGGCCGCTCAGGACATGCAATCACCTTGCAAATCAGACGCCTTGTCGTGCCACTTCCAATCAGACAAGTTCCACAACCAGCCAATGACGGAATTGCACTCCTGCAGACAGTGCTCAGCCGCAAGCGTACCCTATTGCTGGATGAATTAGTTCCAAAGGCTCTTTGTCCTGAGGCCCCCTGGATTCCTGTGCCGCTCATTCATTTGGATTTTTCACCAGCATTGCCCAAGGAATTGTTCCTTGAAGATGACACCACGGAACAAGAAGTAGAACAAGAATTGCACAAACTTGGACATAGCCGACATGTGTATGCAATGGGGTCATCAGGTAAATTCGTCACAGTGCCAATCAGTTGGGCTACAGATGCCAACCATGCCATTTATTGGCATTCAAATGCAACCACAAATGACGATTTCCTGTTGCACACCGAGACTGCACCCATGGATGAATTGACACACATGCGGTTTTTACATTCATGTGGATTCTTGCGTGCTGTCATTACCAATGTCCGAGCCCTCAGAACTGGGCTATTCATGATCACATTCCATAACAATCAACCTGAGCTTGAAGGGCCACAGAAAAAACGCAATGAGCCCACTCCATGGCCACTGCCACAAACGCGTACTCTGCGGAATACCATGATCGACCTCTCTCAGGTCCAGAAACACCTACCGTTGCAGTGCTTGACACTCGGAATTGAATGGACTTACATTGAAGATTTTTTCCAATCAGCACATGGTGTTATTTGTCCATGGTTTAGCCACCTTGATTTGCCTGATTTTGTTTTGCAGGGATTACAACTCGCAACGGCAGTTGAAGGACAGATCTTTGACCCCAATGACTTTGATCGTTTGATCATCTATACAGATGGATCTTCCAAATCCTTCAACCGTAGAAAACCTCCATTATTTGTCGCTGAGCATGACCATCCCGACGCTTGGGCATTTGTTGTCTTAGGAGAGATGTATCCAACGGATGACGCACCAGGAAGCATCACTTTCCTTGGATGGCAGGCACAGCAGATCATGTATGAGCATCAAAATCGGGCATTCACAGGCACTGACCAGATTGGAGCCGAGTTTGCTGAGAGAGAAGCCTTAATCTTTGCTGGACTTTGGCGACTTGCTCTCAATTCGACTATTCCAACAATTTTTAGAACTGATTCCAGCACGACTGCAGACCAATCAATGGGCAGAGCGGGGTTCGCTGCAACACACCCCACCATCGCCCTTTTGAGAGGAACTTTTCAAGCACTTACAGCTGGCATGCGATACTCAGAGCTCGAGGTTTCACATGTGAAAGGACACGCGGGTGACGTGTGGAACGAACTAGCTGACTTTCTTGCCAAAAGTGAAGCCGCCAATGGTCATCGTTTGCATCGACAATCGATCAACCTATTGGAGCTCCAATCCATCATGCCATATCTCTGGATGTTTCTTGACAGTAATTCCGGATTGCCGTCACTGACACGACATGGTTTTGATGTGAGCCCACCGAATCTGCCAGCCGCTGACAATTCTGAAACAGTTCAGCAAGATCCTCAAGGTCTATCCCAATGTCAAGATGTGAATCTCAGTGTTGCGTCTTTGAATGTGGGTTCGCTATTCCTCTCGCCTGATGGTTTCAGTGGAAAATTGACCTACCTTAGACAGCAGATGAATGCACATGCAATTCACATCATGGGCATACAAGAGGCCAGAAGCCCTCCTGGAGTAAGTACTGCTGACGACATTCTCCGGATTTCGGGTGGGTCTGACAATAGCAACCTGGGTGTTGAGCTTTGGATATCTATGACACAGCCTCTGCTGCACAAAGATGGCAAACGCAGTAAATTGGCTCGTTCGAACGTCCAACTCTTACATCACGATCCCAGACGGCTTGTTGCACGGGTTTCTCATGAATGTCTTAACTGTTTTTTGGTAGTCCTCCATGGACCACAAAGTGGACGGCCAAAACAAGAAAGACAAACCTGGTGGGACACAACGCATTCTATAGTTTCGGAAACATGTCGGCATCTTCCTCTCTATGTCATGATTGATGCAAATGCGAAGACTGGGCCTGTCAACCATCCGATAGTTTTTGAAAATGATGATAGCAGTTCTGGAAATACTCCTTTTTTCCTTGATTTTCTGTCGTCATTCAATTTATGCCTGCCTTGCACTGGCCCTGCGCATCAGGGTGAGAAGAACACCTGGACGTCACCTGATGGCATGCATGACCATAGGATTGATTTTGTAGCTATTCCGCAATCGCAGCTTTCATGTTGCACTTGGTCAGGAAATGTTCATACGTTGGATCAAGGGAATGTACATAACGACCATATTGCCACTGCGCTGCAGCTCAATTGGAAAGATACAATTTCACATCGACATGCTCCAAAATTGCTAGCAGTACGTCATGATCGGACTCGAATTGCCAGTAGGCGTAACTCGATCAGCCTGGAGCCCCACACAGATTGCACCTGGCATTGTGACATTGAGACCCAAGTCCAAGCCTTGAACTCTACCATTCATTCTGCTCTGACAGCAGTTTGTCCAATTGACAAGCGGGCACCTAAGAAGTCGTTCATTGATGAGGCAACCTGGGCCCTTCGATCACATAAGCTTCGTTTGAGACGCAGAATCTCACAAGCCAACAAGCAAGCCCGATTGGATCTCATGAGCATGTGGTTCAAACAATGGAAAGGACAATCAACTGCACATGAACATACAGAGTTTGTACAACACCAGTGTACAGTTTCATGCGCATTGTTGAAACTGTCGTGCAGCTACTGGTCATGTACACGCCGACTGAAAGCACAACTACAGTCTCTGAAAAGCCGTACCATGCAAACTGTTATTGCGGAAGCTGGACACAATGCTTCAGCTGGTGCACTTTTGCACTTGATGAAACCATTCATTGGTTCGACCAACCCCAAGAAACAAAAAAGAGCTTGCTTGCCTATCGTTAAACAAGCCAACGGTAGTATATGCAATGATCCAACAGAGGCACAGAACAGGTGGATTGAGTTCTTCCAGGACATGGAGGGAGGTACGCGAATGCCACAAACCCAGTACAGACATCACTGGTTGCAAGGTCTCTCTCATTTCCTCCAGACTGAGGCAGAATGTATCCCAATTCAAGATGTCCCATCACTGTGTGAATTAGAAATTGCTCTACGCCGAGTTCAAATTGGGAAGGCAATCGGATTGGACCAAGTTCCACCAGAAATATGTCATTATTGCCCAGTGCAATTGGCGCGACTCTGCTATCCGATTTTGCTCAAAGCTGCGATCCATGGCCAAGAAGCTGCTGAGCACAAAGGAGGCAAGCTCGCAATTGCTTGGAAACAACGTGGGGACGTGAGAGATTGCCATACGCATCGATCACTCCTTGTTTCCAGTCACATTGGAAAGACTATCCACCGTGCACTCAGACAAAAATCCCATCACCTATATGATGCCTATATGCAACGACAGCAATTGGGCGGAAAACAGAAAATGCCAGTATCGATACCATTACATATGACACGTGCATTTCTTAGATGGAAGTCCAGAATTTCAACTCCGACCACAGTTGTTTTTCTTGACTTGACTGAAGCCTTCTATCGAACCCTCAGACCTCTTGCGGTTGGTGGCGACATGTCAGATCATAGCATTAGTTTAATGTGTGCCCGTCTTGGCCTTGATTCTGATGCACTTCAAGATTTGAACCACCTGCTCCAAGAACCCGCGGCATTAGCTGAAGCACAGGCCCCTGCCTATGTCCAACGGATGCTCCAGGCCTTTCACCGGGACACATGGTTCCAAATTGGAACCCAACCAGATCTCATACGCACCGAGATTGGTTCTAGGCCGGGTGACAGCTTTGCTGATGTCGTCTTTGGTCTGTTGTGGGCCAAACTCCTCCGAAAATTAGAGGCCAGTCTTGTCAGTTTTGGCATCCTGGAGTTTATACCCGATCTTGAGCTTCCAAATCCATTTGACATTCCGTGTCGTGAGGCACACCCAAGGATCCCTCTCCTTGGGCCAACCTGGATGGATGATTTGAGTATGCTCATCACTGCACCTAGTAATGCAGCATTGGTTGCCAAGACTAAACTTGCTGTCAGCTTGTTATTGGATGGTTGTCTTGATTTCCAAATGGCTCCGAACCTCAAGCGTGGTAAGACAGAAATCATGTTCACATTCCGTGGAGCTCAGTCGCGCAAATTTCGTAGGGAGTACTACAGTGCACAAGCCGGCTTGTCAGTTGTTTGTGAACGACAGACGGTCAACGTGCCTATTGTCACGAGATACGTCCATTTAGGTGGCTTGATACATCACCGTGACATCAATCGCCCAGAAATCCGAAGAAGGTTAGCTATTGCTACACAAGCCTTCCAACAACACAAGCGCCTGATCTATCGGAATCCACAGCTGTCATGGAAATCCAGATGCGACATGTTCAACACACTCATCATGAGTAAATTCCTGTATGGATTAGAAAGTTGGACATTCACTACGAACCAGAGCCGTCTGCAGATTCACAATGGTATCATGCGTTTGTACAGACGTTTTCTTGGTGTGTCGCCGGATACACATATGTCTGATGCCGAAGTCTTGATCAAGACCAACATGCCTGATCCCACTGAATTGCTGAGACGGGCTCGGCTCCGTTATTTCGGCACATTGCATAATTGCCGCCACCACTCTCATTGGGGGCTTTTGCAAGAAGACACAGTTTGGACTGACATGATCAGAGATGATCTGCAATGGCTCTGGCGTCAGATTGGAGGTTCCACTGGTTTGAGTGACCCTGCCCATCACTTTCCTGTCTGGCAAGATCTCATTGTTCATCATGGTGTCTACTGGAAGAAATTGATTAGGAAAGGCATTCAGCACGCTTGTTTGCAGAGAAAGAAAGAATTCCATGCGGTTGAACTCCACCAGAAAATTGGCACACTCTTGCAACAGGAGGGTTGGATCGATTGCCTCCCCACAAGTGACATCCGTCATGGACCGCCTGCGGACCATACTTGTTATGGATGCATGCAATGTGGCCGAAATTTTGCATCCTTTGCAGGAGAAAGTGTCCATATGTGTCGGACGCATGGAATCATTGCCCAAGAAAGATTTCTCTTTGATGGCACACAGTGCCCTTGCTGCTTGAAAGAATACCATTCTTTTTCAAAGGTACTGGCGCATCTACGTTGCTCATTGAGATGTCGTGACACATTGAGGGCCAGAAGAATGCATTGTGCACCAGAGCCTGGTACTGGTTCACATGTCGATCGAGTTCAACTTGAAACCAATGATGGGGCTTTGCACACGATACAAGCACAGGGACCCCAACTGCCTGCTCCGATGCCACGACATTGGGATGACTATGATATTTCTTTTCTTGAAGCAATTTATTTGCATCTTGTTGAGGATTCGACTCAGGGAGTTTTGGCGGTGTCACTGAGAAATTTCATTCGTACCTACCCGATCAGCTGGACAAAATGTCGGAAGACACTTGCAGCATTTTGTCAGCAATTCACCGAAGAAGATGCAGCAGTCCTTAACTGGTCATTTCCTGTTGTTGTCCACTGCATGACGCAGATGCAGCAGGAGAAGTATTGGGACTTTTTGCATAACGATCAAGCAGCAGTCATCCTCCACAAGCCTGCCACAATTTGTGAATGGGAAAAGTGGTGTGCGGATCTTGCGGATCAACCACCACCTGAATGGACCCAATGGACTCCCCAACCGCAGTCACTCACCAGACAGAAAATCCTTTTGCATGCCTTTGCAGGAAGGAGACGACGAGGTGACATTGAATGGTATTTGGATGTGCTCTCACAGCAGCTTGAGGGCTGCGTCATACTGACTGTATCCATTGACATCGTCATCGACTCAGTTCATGGTGATATTGCCAAAGAGGAGACAAGAGTGATGTGGTTACACCACATTAGACAGGGCCATGTGGCAGGATTCATTGCGGGCCCACCATGCAATACATGGAGTCGTGTGCGAGCTGTGCAACTGGCTGGCAATAAAGGACCTCGTGTCATCCGTACACCTGACGCACCTTGGGGTTTGAACGAGTTGCGTTTGGGTGAGCTCCATCAGGTGACCATTGGTACAATTTTGCTGGGTTTTGCATTTGAATGTATGCTGGCCATGGCCATGTACAGTGGATCTGGATTGCTTGAACATCCGAAAGACAGCGAAGATGAATCAACAGTTAGCATATGGAGGTTGCCGATCCTCCGATTGCTATTACAATTTCCTGGCATGAGATTAATCCATTTGTCCCAAGGGCTTTTCGGAGCGCCAAGCCCGAAGCCGACAACATTGCTAGTGCTGAGACTGCCTACATTAGAACGCTCTCTACATGATGGCATGCTCTGTTCCAAACTCATCTTTGGAACCACCACTGGCAAGGATGACAAAGGAAATTTCAACACGGCTCCGTTGAAAGAATATCCCCCAGGGCTTTGTAGGGCGATTGCCCAAAGTTTTGGCACTGATTTTAGTGCGTCTTCCACCTGTGTTGAGCACGGTGACCTGCCAGACCTCCCAATTTCGTTTTTGGAGCTATGCACGAAGATGCGTGACCACGATTTTGGGAATTTCATAGGTCTGGACTGATTGAATTCGATGTTGCAAAGCCGCAACGAACTTCGTTACTATGGGCTTGAGGAAAAAAAAATGTGCGCGTGTGTGTGTGTACATGTGAAAGGTTTATCCTATTTCTAAACTGGTGAAAGCAGCGCGTATTGACAATATACCAACTGGAATACTGGCATGCAGATTCATGTACAAATGGGGAAGAGTACCCAACCATCAAGAATGAGTTTCACACCTAAGGTGGATTTTGTTCACCAATCAACTTGAAAACCAACAAGGATTCAAGGTCCAAACTACCTCAAGAAACTTCAATTGCGCAATTCTTTGCTTGGTTGCCATATCATCCTTTGTTGCTGGGGTAATGTAAGCTATGCGTCAGGGAGTGAGTCAGGTATATCTACTGTTGTACGTAGTTTTAAGATGTTTTTAAGGTTGCCCACGGCAGAAAAGCACCAGAAAATCAAAAAAACTCTCGACATCATCGCCGATCCCGTCTCCTTCCACCTCAAGCCATTCACCTTCTACTTCCAGATTGCATGGATCTGGAATGTCACTGACCAACATTGGCTGCGCCATGGCTGGTGAGGAATGGAAGTCGGCACTGACCAGTTTTTTGAGCAGTCAAGAGTCGTTGAACAACGCTTCGCCTTGAACCAATGGCGATCAGTTGATTTTCAAAACAAGCCACTTTCCAACGGAGTCATTAATGTGATTAACTTGAATGCTAAATCTGATGGTCTTTAGTTTCTTTTCCTGACTTGGCCATGTTGCAATCCAGTGGAAAGCTCTTCTGCGGTCAGTGCAAAGCCAAAAAGGCTGCGGCATGGTCCGGCTGTGGGTCGTGCAGTCAGCGGCTATCATCCCCCCGTGGACTAGGCCATGTGAAATTGTGGAACGGTGGATCTTGATGGATTTTGCAGGTTCCCAAAGCTACCACGTACTTGCTGCACTGTCAACGGGCAATGACGACACATAATCACTGCCACACCCCAACATCAGATGGGTCAGAACCCTCGTGCAGTCCTTCACATCCCAAAAATGAAACGGATGGTCCAGATTGGAATGTGAGTAGCAACCCAATTTTAGGATTGTTTGGTATCGAACCATACCCATCCAAGAAATGCCAAGTCGTTTGACTCAAATAGCCTGACATGTCGTACCATAAGGTGGAGAACAATGTCTCATTCGCTTGGGAAAGTGGCTCTGAACGGGGTCAGCTCTTCATGCCCAGAGAATCAAGCCACCTCTGTCATGGTTGCCCCTCAACTTGCCGAACTTGAAGCATGCTCCAGCGAAAGGTTGTCGGGGAACGGGCCCCCACTAGCTTGTTATAAGTTATAACCCATTCAGGCAAGGAACCTCTATGGATCAGTAGGCAAACATTCAAAGACTCTCAATATTGATCCACCCTTCTGTACATCAAAGGTGCACCTAAGTTCCTTTCTGACATGCCCTTCCGAATCCTCAAAGCTACTAGCAAATGCATACCATCACTTGTAGTTGCTGGGTTTGAAGAGGGCTGTAACCCATCTACGATGCATTTATCGATTCTACCTAGAATTTAACTCAAAATGCTGTTGTGCTTGCGGGTTGCAGCCTACATTTACCAACCACATGGCAGCTCAAAATGCAGTTGTACCCCGCATGTTCGACCCATAAAACCCAATCAATCACACTGCATTTCAACACGGCTAATCTTAGACATGTGGTTTTTAGCTGGGTACCAATTTATCTCCGTCAAAATTGCCAATATAAAAAAACAATGTATGGTTTCACGAGCCTTAAAACCAGTCAGTTAACCCCGTCACCAGTAACTACTGGTGACTCCCCCTGTCCTTCAAAGCGGCCTTTTCGTTACGGATGTCGTCCTTCAGGCTGGGGTCAGAAGGGAATAGGGAGGATTTCACCAACTTGGAGGCTTGACTTTGAAGATTTTGACATATCTTGAGCACAAATATTTAACATATGATATGTCAAACATATATAGCGATGAATATGGATGAATAGATATGGAGGCTGTCCAAATAAGATATGCCACTATCAAGAACGGAGGCTGCAGCTATGCTGTTTCAATAGATTTTGGGATGTCATGAATCGAAGTATTGCTGCCAAAATGCACCATCCCCAGAAACTCCAATGGCACTGCAACCTAACAGGCCTGGTCTCTAGTCAACTAATTCCCCATCTTTCCTAGAGTTTATCACAGATTGCCCACTGCCGGAAAAAGGAAAAAACAACTATTGTTTCTGAGTGAAATCCCAATATTGTACCAGTTGAGGCCTCCATTTTTGCTGCTGAAATTCCCGTGTGTCTTGATGAAGCCCTTATTTTTCTTGTTTTGCCATTTTGTTTCGCAAACCTCTCGTGTTGTTTCTCCATATGTTCTTGGTGAAATTTCTGGGTTGTTGTATCCCATTACATCCCCATACCACGGCTGGTTTCACCCCAAGTTTTACTTCTAAAATCATGGTTGGTTTACTAAAATGTTATGTGTCAAAACCCTGGCGCCCTTCAATTCACACCAAATTAGCTCGGATTTGTAGATGTTCATCCCCCTAAAAAATCCATTTATAGCTACTGACCCATATCGAAAACCCCAGTTTTTTGTTGGTTAAATCCCAAGTTTTCAAGCTGAGATCAGTGAAATCCCTATTTTTCGTTGGTTAAATACAAATTTTGTTGGTTAAATCACCAGATTTTGGTTAGTTAAATCCCATCATCACCTCCTCCCCTCGTCCCTCCCCGACCTGCGTTGCGGCCGTCACCGCGGCCATGGGGCCACGCAGGGCCCGCGCGGCGCTGCCGGGGGCGTAGCCCGGGGTGCGGGAGCGGCTCTTGCGGGCAATGGCCTGGCCATGTTCAATTAATATTTCAGTTTTAACTTTATAACCGATTTATAACCCATACATATAACATACATTACCGATAAATTAATGCTCTATATGTATATATATGTGTGTATATATATATATAGAGATATGTATTTATTTGTGTGTATATCTATATTATACATATATATATATATGTTTAATGTCAACAGCGGCAGACTTCCTCATTTTCCCAGAACCCCAGCAGTAGCACAAATAGCTGCGGGTGATTTGAAGGTTTTGTCAACAGCTTCGTGGACCGAGTCCACCTCCGTGATACCCCGACAGGCTCCAGCCTCCCAGAAGCAAACTTTTAAATCCTATCCCCGTCGACAGCGGATGCCCCATAGAGGTCCTAGTCAACAGGGAGGTAATCTGCACAAAAGGGACGACAGGAACACCTGTGATCCGAAACCTACGATCAGCTCAGACAGATTGTGACACGACGATGGCACCAGCCATCCCACCCACCACATTGGAAGCACCAATGGATAAACTGCCAGCTTTGGGGATACGCCCGGTAGCCAACCATGACAAAAAGGGACGAAGAGCTCTGAAGCCTCATCTCCTGGTTCATCCCCTAGCAACCCAAACCAGGGAGGATGAGCCGGGACAAAAACGAGATCAGGCTGTGTCTGCCTGAGTTGGAGTCACCAACTAGGCCAGTCAGGCCATTTTGGCTTGATATTAAAAAAAGTATCACCAGGTGATTCAGAGTCAGTCATGTCTGTGCCACAAACATAGTTTCATCACCGACCCTGCCTACCTTTAACGAACTAAATATATACACATTCACATAACCATTATTACATATTATTACTGATAGCTGGATAATTTACGGTTGATAGTCCAGCTGGATCATTGACGGTTGATAATTGGATACAATTGGTAATTATCCAGCTTAACTAATCAGTCATTGTACCCTCTGGTAAACTAACATAACTATGGAAAATCACCATTTATAGTGAGTTGTCCCATGAAAAATGGTGATGTTCCATAGTTTTTTGTATCTTTACCAGAGGGTAATTCGTGGTCAAATTGTCCAATGAAAAATCGAAATCATCGAAAAGATGGGTTAGTTCACCACCATGGCTTTCCCGGTCGGAAAATCATCTAGAAATTGGTGATGTGCCACATCGTTGTTTTAGGAGGCGTGCTGATAAATAACCTGGTAGTTTTGGGCGTTTTTTGGGTATTTTAGTCGTGGGTGGGGTGGGGTGGGGTGGGATGATAACGTCGTGTTACGTTGACGTCATGTCCTGGTGCTACCAACTTGGCTAGGTCATGCTACGTCTTGGGTGGGGTGGGGTGGGGTGGGATGATAACGTCGTGGCAACATTGTTTTGAAGGTTTTACCATTCAAGCTAGTGCCTCCAGGTGCAAGTCCACCTGTGGAATCCAAGTCTGAAATTGTTCAATCCAAGATCATGACCTTTTTAGGCGATTCCAAAAAAATCCGTCTCTATAGTGATGGAGCCAAAGCGTGGGAGAGCCTGTGCAAAGAGAAAAGGATCAAAAATTTTCCAGTTACGCATCGAAAACAACAGTTCACTCGAAAGTTGAAAACTTGGAAGAAACCTGGAGCCACCATTGCTGGAACTCAAGCAGTGGACAGATGGTGGCAATCGCTTGACCGTTTCAATCCTTCCTCTTTGAACAACAAAGACTGGTCCAAAGGTGGTTTGAATCAAAAATTGATTTTGTATATGCATGCCTTTGTTTGGCGATACCACTTACCAGTCACTGCAGACTTGAAGTCTCACCTCGGAAAATTGAAATGAGTGAAAACGAAACGCGCCGCGACGGCTGAATTTACCCCAATAACACAAACTCCTGTATTTTACAGGACGAAATGCTGTCGAAGACACAAATGAGACCAGGTTAAATACCCGCGCGTGACCTTGTTTTACCCATATGTTCCCCCATGAGATTTAGCCATGAAATCAGCCATGAAATTAGCAGAGGGTATAAGTTTTACATAGTTTTACCCATCAATGAACCACAGTTATACTCTCTGGTAATTCAATAGTTGACGTATTCCCATGAATATGTGTGTGTATTAATGGTCTAACCGTAATCGAACATGATTCAAGCACCATCCAGACAATGTCTGGAAGATAAAAACTGGCAATGACCACGAGTAACTCAACCATTGCCAAAATGCGGTGTGCTCCGACTATATACAGGGTATATCCACGTATACACTTTTTGGCATGCACATCCAAGCAACTAACGTGCGTGCGCATGTACATGTAATATGATGACCATGGCAGCTAAACAGCATTGGTCTAATATATCTTGTCTTGCGGTATGATAATGCATACTAATATATCTAAGAATGGTGTCTCACCAAAATCTAGCATGATTAAACGCTTCGATGAGTCAACATGATTGATATCTTTAACATTTACGACATTCCCATACAAGTTCTCCGCATCATGTTCTGGCTGGTTCCCCGATTCCCCCATTTTTTGTCCATGTCACCATGAGCCAAAAAAAGGAGAATTGGGGGGGGAACTCACTGTCATCTCGTCGTTGTAACTATGATCCAGTGGGATTGAACCGGATTGAAACAAGGAAAGGATCTTACCCTCTGGTTATGTCAAAATAGCTATTGAAAATGGTCCATAGAAATAGCTGATTTGCCCATCAAAAATGGTGATTTGTTTCCATAGTTATGTTCGTTTACCAGAGGGTAACCAACTCATCCTGAAGGCGGGATGACAGGTACCTCAAACGATCGGAGGACTATCAAGATTGCTGTTGGAATCCCCTTGCCTGATTGATGGTCAGCACCTGCTTCACCGCTTCACTTTGCAGTCTCAACAGCTCCTGAGGCTTTCCGGGTTTCCGTTTGAACAAATTTTGCAAGTCAAAGGGCAATTCTGTGGTGTTGTCCCACCGTTTATGGATGATTCATGAGGATTTACCCAGTCAAAATGGTGATTGCCCATAGGTTGAATTACCAGAGGCCAAAATTTGGACCACATCCTACCATGGCACCAGTTGCTTGTGTGGTGCCAACGATTACCCATCCCGACCAACTCCCATTTCTAGGGGTGGCAACCAATGCCGCAAAACCTGGGGGTAGCTTGTACCCCTAAATCATCCAATTTAATAGGATTTTCCCGTATAAACCATCCATTTTGGGGTATCCCCATTTATGGACACCCACATATATAAATTCTCATATGATGGTGCTTACCTCATCAATCGACCTATTTCCTGTCAGAATCCTTTGCGACTTGATGTCCCTTCCATATTTGATCATCATCCCACCGATCACAAGTGGTGAAGACCTGTGGATGCCAACAATTTGAATAATTAAATAGGATTGGAAGTCTGGTTGCACTTCGGCAATTAAACATGACAATGCAAAAAAAAATGTTGTAGGAAAATAATCTATGTAGGCGGAAAAAGTGCTGAAGAGACTCTGGGTCTTCATTGAAATCCCAAGTTTGGAGACATGTTTTTTGTTCATTGAAATCATTATCTTTGGCGCCACCAACTTTGGGAAAACCCAAGTGAACAGTTGGCGCATCCAGACCCATCCAGCTCCAACTGTTGGTTCACTGATTCCACCCTGTTGGCTCCCAACGGCCCGAAAATTCTGTGGATCCTTCCCATTCGGTGGTCTAGTCGAAGCCCCAAAAAAAACTATATAGCAAGTCGAATCTAACCCCACAAGCATCAAGCATCAGAGTTTCTGCCCCCATTCTTGGAGGTCGAAACCCCATGATTCCGTGATCCACATATTTCACCTTATGGTTGATTCGCATAGATCTTATAGCCATATGGAACTCTCTATGGATCAAATCGGCCTCATCACTGCTTGGATCTTCCTCGGAAATTTCAGTGGGTGAAATAGCTCAGGTCCTATGCTGAAGTCCCTCTGTTTTTTCCCTGGAAATCCCCTGCATTTACCCCTGCATTTCACCATCGGCCATCGCCACGCCTCCATCGATTTAGCATGGAGTTCCACGACGACGGGCACGGCCGCTGCAGCTGTGGGGCTTGTGGCCATGGCGCTCGCGCGGCGCGACGCGGCGCAAGCTCGGCTGCCCACGGTGGGGAGCACAGGACGCGGCGCTGGCTAAAAACTGAGGAGGCTGGAGAAATGATGGATTTATGGTGATTTAATGGTGATTTAATGATGATTTAATTGGTGATTTAATGGTGATTTAATGGTGATATCAAGCTGCTAGTTAGGCTGACATGTTCGGCCATGCGGGGATAGTTCTCCCTTCACATTCACCATCATTGCAGTGAGGTGCAAGGCCATTTTTGCAGCCAATGCATTTCAAAGGCTCAGAGTGATGATGGTCCCTTCAGTTGACGCAAACTGAGAAGTGAAACATTAAATTCTGACTGATTGAATCGATTTTTCATCATGAACTGAGTGGATCATCTAACCGATTAGATCAAACGATCCAGAGCTGGTTTGCACCCCCTTCGATCCCAGATTTGGGGATCAACAAGGCCGGTTTTCAGCCGCCGTCGAGGAATGGATGCACCCGCTCCCAAAGCAATGGTAGACGGATTTCTCCGGGATTGGCCACTCAAGTGGAAATGATCTACGAATCTACGACTGTATCAATGATGATAGAGAGATGTCCTTGAAAAGTCCCTGAACATACTTTGGTCAGACCCAAAAACATGGTCAGTTGCTTTCCTTTACACATCTACCATATCATGCACTGTCGGGAACACCAGGATGGTCCCGAGATGTCCGGATTCCGAATTTCTGGGTGCCGAATCTGATTCTTCGCCCGGCCGCTTTTTGACGTCTTTTCCATGGGCCAAAATTCATGGAGGTCCCCTGAGGTCCCCTGGTAGTGAGCCAAATCTTCATCCCCCATAGGCCCCATAGGCCCCTTCCCCATAGGTAACTTGATCACCGAATCACGGCAGGACCCACCCTCAGGTGATGTGGAAGGTGCAGTGAGGGCAGAAGTTGGCCCCAACGCACTTGGGCATAGCTCCAGCGCACCTCCCAGGTCACTTTTTTGGGGACTCATGGTGAAGGGGCAGCCCCAGCTAGAGCTTTGTGCCATTCTGAAAGTGCCAAAGTGGGCTTTAAAAAAACTGGTTGAAGATCCAGATTTTGCGGATTCTTCTGATATATCTTCCAGTTGTAATTGAGTATGCCCACCATCATCGCATCGAGCAGCAAAAATTGGAGGAGTGTACCTGTTTTTTACCAACAATTCAGGAGATCGCCCTCAAAACAGAGGCTTCAAGACCCAAAAATGTCTGGACTTGAGTCTATGAAACTGTAGGCTGTGAATTACTAATGGAGCTGAACCAGATACCCCGACCACCGCAACTTGCAGTAAACACTTGGTAAACGCGAAAGTGAAAAAAAATGTTTGGCTGTGCATGTCCATGCATCGCTGGGTTGATCATCCCACTTCGTGGTTAGTTAACTTATATAATGTCAATGTTTTTCAAGTCCAACAGGGCAATGACCTCAACCTGCCTCGTTAGTCACCTGATCTCACCTGGGATGGTCATCGTTTTTGTTGCAGACACCTCTCCTTAAAGGTGAGTAGCTACAAACTCCCAGAAAAATGGCCTTCCAAAGTTTCCAATGCCATGTTTTTTCCAGCCGTGTCATCTTGTGGCTGGGCTGTTCATTCTCCAATGCATCGTCCCACCTCGGGCAATTCGCCGGAGTTGGCTTCACCTCTTCTATGATTGGCCTGGCGTCGTCTCAATGCCAAGGGTAAGATCAATTGCCCAATTGACCGCAGTTGGTTTTGTGATAGACCTGGATTTTTTGCACTAATCCAAACTTTACGACCATGAGGTGTCACCACAGATCGCGACGAACGATCCAGATTTGGCATCGTTCCTCCTTCATGACCCCATCATGGTTGGGTTATACAACAAGTTTCTTGGTTAAAGAGGTATATAGAAATGTACACAAATAGACAGAGAGAGAGAGAGAGGTGTGTGTGTGTGTGCGTGTATGTGTATATATATATATACACAATCACACACATACATTCATAGCAAATATAAATACATGCAGAAAATATATTAGGGATTCAAAATTCAAGAGACACAAACACCGCTCGCCCAGAGCCGGACTTGGCCTTGGGACGCTCCACCAGCTGCTGAAGCCTCCGAAGGAGGCCACGCCAGAAGTCACCTCCATCATGGAACTTGGTGAACCGGTTGAGGTTGATGATGTGGGTGATATGATAGAGATTTACCCTCTGGTTATGTCAACATAGCTATTGAAAATGGCCATTTATAGTGAGTTTTCCCATTAAAAATGGTGATTTTCCAGAGTTATGTTAGTTTACCAGAGGGTAATAGGGAGAACGGGATTTTGAATTCGATAATGAATTGGATTACAAGTGCAATATCTGTTGATAGGGATAATGGATCATGGGGGTGTAATTCATGTGATGTATGTGGGTTTATATATGTTGTATGGGATATATGTGAGTTTATTAATGGGATATATGAAAATGATTCATGGTATATATCATATTTAACCTATAGAGGGATATAATCCATAGAAAAGCCAACATAGATGTAAACCCAACAATTATCGAGGGATTTAATTCATGGGATATTGATGTGGGTTTATATTATTATTATTATTATCATTATTATTATATATTATTATATATTATTATATATTATTATATATTATTATATATTATTATATATTATTATATATTATTATATATTATTATATATTATTATATATTATTATATATATATATATATATTGACCAATCATAATGGGATTTAAATTGGACTTAATAATCTATATCTGGGGGTTTCTTAGTGGAGATCCCCAGGATGATCTTCCAAGTAGGCAGATTTCTAATGATTTCTATCAGCCATGAGAGATCTGAATACACACCGGCACCGATGGGGATACAGCAACAAACATGGTGGTCCAAATGGGAATATCATGGGGATATAATTAATGAGGATATTGATGGAATACGAATGGAATATGTGGTATTCAGACATGTAAAGAAAGACCCTCGTCATCAAACGTGGGGAAAGCCCAGATGGAGCTTCAGAGCTGGGAAAATCATCGCTTTCTATGGCTTTCCTTGGGATTTTACACCAAGTTCCGTTGATCCTCCGATGACGATCACCGGTATCGGAAATGCTCACGAAAAATGCAACGAACTTGTTTTCACATTTGCTCAGTGGCCTGGTTTTTGAGGCTAGATTTAGGCTAAGTTATCCCTTACAAAAAGTCGTTCCTGACATAGTGGAGATGGCTTAAGGGAACCCAGGCAGTAAATCCACCCTTTATGAGTGTTGTAACCGTAATCATCAACACGGCCGCACTTCTCGAATTTACCATTGGGTAGATCAAAACCATACCCAACAGATACTCATGGATTTCTCCAAATCTTACTATAAGTCTACCCCAGAGTAAACTACTTTCAGGTACTAAACCACCTATAAAAGTGAGGGTAAAAACTCCAAGCCCCATGGGTTTCCAGATGTTTCCAGTATTTTTGTTGGCTTTACCTCATTGCACAGGGGAAGCCAACCCCAAACGCTGCAGCCCGCTGCAGCGTCCGTTTTCTTCTCAACGCAGCAGCCCCCGGCCCACGTCCCGACTTTTGCCACGCACCTGAGAACAATCTGATGGCCAGCAAAAAGTATCTCATTGTTCCAGAGATGGTTAGAAGATTCTGAAAAATGGGATTACAATGGGATTAGAATAGTATTAGAATTGGTTTAGTGAGATTTAGTTTAAATGATGAAACCAGCAGCCCGGTGTTTAATCAAAGGATTTTAAAAATTGAAAAAAAGATTGAAAAAAGCCAGCAACCAGTTGTTTTCTAAACAGAGAGCCCTTTTGCCCTTTTTGTTGGCAGATTCCCCCAAGCGATGGCCCAAAAGATCCAGGAAGCAACCTTCATTCCATCTAAGAAGAGCAGCCAGGTTCAAGCATTTTTTCTGACCCCTCCAACCCCCAACCCCAAAACCCAACAATGAGACAACCTGGTGCATTGGAGGATGTGCAGTGTTTCAAGAAGTTGAAACAACCCCTGGGGCTGGTTACATAGTCGTTGGGATCCCCATGTCAATCAATGAGTTGCAGCCCCTGAAAATGTCAAGCCCACACGCCAACCCTCAAACCTCTGCCCTCTGGTTACATACAACTCATCTGATGAACCGCAAAGTGAGGTACATCTAACCTGGTGTGCCAGGTTTTTCTGTACCAGGCATCAAGTTTTGATTGGTTCCGATTTTCTTGGTGATTTTTGACTACTCTCCACAATCGCCCGGTAGACCAAGGTCATTACCAGCTTGGCATAGAGGCCACCCTTGCGCATGAGCACCTGCAACATGTCATGATATTCATGATGGTTGTGAGATTTGCTGAACATGGCACCAGAAAATACCAAAATGGTCCAAATGGTCCCTCTAGATTCCCCATGTCTGCTTTGCCGACTCAGCGAATCTAGGAGGTTTTGTGGCTTGTAAAAACCCACTTCATGGGATCTGCTGTTTCAGCAGACGATCAAGTAGTAAATCCTTGGGGTCCAAGCAGTCTCTGCGTCACAGTGTAGAGCCCCTTGTCATCCACCAAGATTTACCCATTTTTTGGTGGAAAGTCATTGAGCCCAACCCCCAACCCATGGCAGCGTCTACGTCGGTGTCCATCCCCGTCGGTGTCCATCCGAATTTTCTCCAACGTGAGAATATCTCCAACGTTTGCTGGTATCCCCGCAGTTTCAATCTTGTAAGCATCCCAAACTGATGAGTCAATAAACAGCAGCTTTTCTTAGATAGCAACTTGCGATGAGAAGATGATTTAGAACAAGAATGCCTATCTTCAAACAAGTCTCAACAACCTCAAAACAAGGCGACAAAGAAAACTACCAAAATGGAAGTCAGAATGAAAATGTGCTTGGCGGCCGAACGATGTCCGGATCGTTCACCCTGAACCCCCATCAACCGACGAGGGCCGGCCTCATGCCTGCCTTGCTCTGCGATTCGACCCTCGCAGCGGAGACTTGTCAACTGACCAAGTTGTGGTATCCATACCATGTTGCTTCACTAAAAATATGATGGTATGGATACCATGTTGATGATAAAGTGGTAATCATACCATCAACTTACCAAAGTGGTAATCTGACTTTGATGCTTTACTGAAAACTTGATGATGACTCATAATCAGCCCCAAGAATGTCATGGCTCATGGATGCTCATGGTCGGTCCCTAAACAAAACTCCGACATATGGCTCCCGAAATGTCGCATGCCAACTGGTAGCGATCGTGTTGTGTACCGGAAAGCATCCTTCCTATCTTGCAGAGTCTAGACCCCAGCAAAAAACCCTGGTGCCTTGTTCCTGAGTGTTTGATGAAAGCTTTACATCATGGATTTCAATCATCCCTATCCGATACGTTCGGAAAAACGAGGGCCTACTAAGTTCAGTGCAGCTCCACTAAGCAAACCGTGGATAGATGTTACCATAGGAGCCCCACATCCCAATTGGTGAACCTACCATGGGTTGCATCCCATCAGCAAAACGCCACGCATTTCTCGGAGAAAATCCCCCGGAGCGGCTGGTGATATCTTGATTTTGTGCTGAAGAACCACCATTGGAGGAAACAATTCCCTCTTAGTTGGCGAAATATAGACTGTGAAAAGATGTTGTTTCTTGGGTATACACCAGCTTATGTCCTTTTTTCATCTTTTTTCTAGATCAAGATCAAAGATTACATAGTTTTGGTCAAAGCCTTATTCTATTTGGAGGTGTCGACCCTCTGAAAGAATATGATCGTCATTCGAAAATTCATCATCCTATTTCTAGGGTTGAAAGTTGAAGATAATATATAACTACATTTGAATCCACCAAACAAATATAATTGGATTTAATAAAACCAACAGTAACCTTCACCTAAATGATTACATATATTAGTTTTAGATTATATAAAGATCGCAACAAATTTTGGTGAAAAAAAAGTGATTCATGCCTCCAGCCCCATCGTTGCTTCCCCGGGGGGTGCATCCCACTTGGTATGTGGCTAATAGCTACTTGAAATACCCCAGTTATGGAATAACTATTCCAGTAGATTCCAGTTGTAATTATGTGGTTTACATTGGATCCTTGTCCCATTCAAAAAAAAAAACATAGAAATGTAAATCCGGATGTAAACTTCCAGCTAAATCCGGGGTCCAAAAAAAACAAACATCTTCCCTTCATCGAATCGACCATGGTTCAATGGGAATTCCAGGATCCTAAAATGGAGGTACGTTAATACCATATTTTTGGCCATATTTTGCTGGGGATATTCCCTTACATAGGCCTCAACAATAGGCCTTATATATGGTAGGTACCTCCAATCAATCGGATCCTGAAATTCCCATCGAATCGACGTGGATTTCCCCACCTTCTCCAGTACCACGATCTTATCGGCATCCATCACCGTGCTGAGGCGATGGGCGATGACCAAACAGGAGGCCGACCTGGCTTTTTTACCCACTGAAAAAAAAAACAGTTCGAACATGTGGAGGTTTCCGAAGTCATGGGGATACCATGGGATACCCCTAGTTATCATCCATTTTTCTTTGGGATTTTAGAACCCAGCTATTTTAGGATGTCCCCAATTTAAAAGGAAACCTCCCATGTCTCGGTCGAAGTTGAAGATCTTGAAGCTGGAAACCGAGGGCTTCCCATGTTCGAAAACCATCACCAACAAGAAACGCGTCCCTCCGACCTTTGTTTCAAGTAGACGTTGACGCTGTTCTGCCGGGAAAAAAAGGTGCACAGGATGATGCGGTGCTCCGAGTTCTCTAAGGATGATGTGTTTGGCTTTCCTCAACATGACAAAAAAAGTCCACAAAAACTTGAACTTTGCCTACATAGACACTCCAGATTCACAGCAGTTTGCATGCCGACCCAAGCCCTTTTCCAAGCCGAATTGGAGGGCTGAATTGGCCTCCAAATTCAAGAAACACCGAGAATCATGGTAGAAATAGCTGGTTCTATCCCTAGTTCCATCAGTTTTATCGGCTCTTGTCCAAGTATACAGCTCTCTTGAGTATGTGTCAAAATGTGTCGATGGACCTATGGATTCCCATGGATCTCAAGCCCATTTTGGAGCCACTGGTAGTCGGACGCAGGTCCCCTATTAGGATTCTTGGTCATGTTCATCGTAATCCATCATAGATTATAGCACCTATGTTCTGATCCGTTCAAGCCATACCCATCAATCATGTGGCATGCATGATGTATAATCAGGTCCAAATCCATTTGAACTCATAGCCGTCATATGTCCATTTAAAAGTTAACCATATTTTCCATGGAAAATGAGCCATGGGTAAATGATTTACCTATGCTTTCCATGGCCATTGTCCTTTTCAAAGTGTTACCCAACAAGCTCCCCACACCTGCACCGCTGCTTCAGTGCTGCTGTCCAATGCTGAAGTGGCCTGCTCCAGGAGTAGAAGTTGTAGAAAACCCTACTCCTGGTAACCCCCAAAGGATGAAAGGATGGAAAAGTGAGAAAAATTATGCTGAGACCAGTGACCAGCAGTGGACATTGCTAAGGCTGGTGAGAGAACTCTTAGAGATAATTGGAGCTTTGCAACGTACTTAAGCTACCGCACGGCAGGAGGCTGCTTGGTCTAACTCCTAGGTGTGATTTTGCCCAACTTGGGCACCACACATAAGATCGTCTTCTTGGCAAAGGTATCCCAAACTTGACAGAATGAGAGTTCAAAAAAGATATGGGGGGGTTCCATAAATGGTGGTACCCCTTTATCGCTGGATGGTTTATTTCATGGAAAATCCTGCAAAAAGAAATGGATAACTAGGGGTACCCCCATGACTTAGGAAACCTCCATATAGATTTAGAAGTAATACAAAGCCTCTCTTCCTCTCCTTGACCATATTCCTTGGCATCTAAGGTGCCTCATCCAGGATCAGAATTCGCGGTCGTCTGACCTCAGGTGAATAAAATTGGCTTTTAAGGTTTGGAAACCCTGGGTTTTTACATCCGATCTTTGCCGTCCTGCAAAGTTTCCCTGGAAAATAGAAAACCTTTTTTTGCAGGAGAATGTCTGACATCACTAGTGTCATCACTACTGTTGCGGTTGAGTGAAAAAGAAAATAGTGATCTGAGGCGTTTAAACAGGTTGCCGACCCAGACATCCCCAAACCGGGAGAAAACCCCACGGCAGGGGGCATCCAAGTTGGTCACATGTAAATAGCTGGGCTACAACGGCTACAATAATCCCTCCCCCCATGGGAACATACCAATTTTCAGTTGCTAAATCCCATCAAATCACGCTTGCTGGATAAAACCCTAGCTTCAATCCCCATCAAATCTTCAACTCGTTGATTTTATGGAATAGCGGCAAGAATAATCCCGTAAAACCCCATCGTCACCATCATCATCATCGTCGTCGTCGTCGTCGTCGTCATCATCATCATCATCATGATTTTGATCATAATTGGCACTGCCAAATGGACCGCCAGAGCCACAAATACCATATTAGATTCAGATTGTTGATGAATAATCCCAAAAAAAATAGTCGCATCATCATCCATCACTAGTTCTACTATCAATATAGTTTTAGATTACCATCAACTACCATTATAGTACTATGAAAATAGTGTCATCATGGCTTTCGCCCATCCCTTGGGCTCCGGGCCAATGCCCGGGCCAGGGCGATGCGCTGCCGCTGGCCGCCCGAGAGGCGAACGTCGCCCACCATGGTGTCGTAGCCTCGGAAACGCTCCGAGAATGTGGGAATCCCTTGGATTTGCTTCAGAAGGGCCCATGATATATAGATATATGATACCCTATGGTAAATAAACATAGACCCTGAAAATGACCAATTTTGAGTGGAAACTAATCTTCCAACCCCGACGACTGCCAGGGTCTATGTTAATTTACCGGAGGGTATATGATATATGATATATGATATATAATCATCGACATGGTTTAGGATTCCCAAATGATTCCCAAAATGAGAAAATAGTAATCTTTATGTATTCCCCATAGATTCCCCAAATGACGGCACCAGTGGGAAGATGGAAAATCATATTCTGTGTTTTCCTGGAGGTTGGACGCCTGCCATTATTTCGCGAATGTGAAAAACCATGTTCCACCACGAAATGCGCGAAGATCAGATAACATCTCCATCTTTAGCAGTCGAAAATCCCCATGTTCCTTTGCACAAAAAAAAAATATGGGTTAAAATCCGCATTTTCTCAACAAAAAATACCACTCTCGGCATTTTTCGGGCCAAAAATTCACGTCCAAAAAGTCCGCCCGGAAGCGCCCGGACCCTGCGGAAGCGCCATGATAAAGCCATGCGCATCTGCTGCTTCGGCTGCTTCACCTGTGGGCCATGGGTTGAACATAAAGTACCCTCTGGTGATGTCAACATAGCAATGGAAAATCACCATTTTTAATAGGTAAACCATCTATTTCTATGGGCCATGGCTTCCATTTATGATATGATAGAGATTTACCCTCCGGTTATGTCAACATAGTTATTGAAAATGGCCATAGAAATAGTGAATTTTCCCATTAATAGCATGGTGGATCTTTCCATAGCTATGTAAACGTTTACCAGAGGGTATTCACCACTGAAAATCATGGCTGCGCAATCTCAAATACCTGCCAAAAGACGGCGCCAGGGTAGGAAAGATCTTCCGATATTCCCTCCCTTGTTCATCAATTTGGGACCAGAAAATAATGACGTTCATCAACCGTTGATCTTAAGTCTTAAAAAAAAAAAGCATTTGATATCCCCCTTCATTACACCATCTTAACCCCGTTGTTCATGTTGCCATCGTTCCCAATTCATCGGGATAGTGCAATATGAATCCATGTTGGGCCCCTAAACTTGTGCCTATCACCTTTTGTTACCTTTTTGGCGCCTGGGCTCCCATACGCACCAGTTTAGAGACTGCATCTACGGTCAAAGGTGAATGGAGGCCCAGGCCTGGCCAAAAAGCTGACATTGGGGATAGTTTCGCTCAGTTTAGTAAGCATGATTTTGGTGAGCTCGGCCAGTTCGCTATAGTTTGCCCAACAGTTCCATTCTTGGTAAGTTATCCCCACTTTTGACCAATCAATTCTCATTCTGACGGCTGAAATCAGTATGTTGGCTGTTCAATCCCGCCTTCCATGGCCACCGCTTGGTCCACAGGTCCGAGACCCAGGGCGATGTTTTCCCAAACCGTGGCGGTGAAGAGTCGCGGGTCTTGGGGTACCACCTCAGAAGATGAGATTGGATGAATTGGGTTGATGAATCTGTGTTACCCTCTGGTAAACTAACATAACTATGGAAAATCACAATTTTCTAAATCCACTCTAAATGGCCATTTTCAATAGCTATGTTAAATTACCGGAGGGTAACCCAATTGTTGTAGTTGACCCAACTACAATTTTCATTGGTTAACTACAATCTGTTAACTACGATGTTCTAATTATGCTGAATGTAATTAACCAAAAAAACTGTATTAGAACTTAGAACCCATTATTTTAGATTAAAAACATAAAACAGAATCTAGTATGATGTCTTACTGACTATACTAATATTATTGATTGTTTATTCATTATCTTAGTTGATGAACATACGATTCCACTTTATAAATCAACTGGAATATTGGTATTGACTATTGTAATCTCGCAGTCGAAAGGCCTCAAAAAAATAGATACCATTGCTGGGTTAGATTGGAAAGGTGCTGCCTGCACAAAAAAAAGACTCTTCTGAACATCTTCTGAACATCACTTACTCCTTTCATCTGGTTTCCATACCCCGGCCAAAAGGGAAAGAATCATTTCAAATGTTGGCATACACCCTTGAAATCGAACTGAGAAACAATACATCTTCAAAATTCTAAATCAGTTCTTGCGGGTGCCATGTTCCCAAGAGTGCTTGTGACACGTTGCACCCGTAATCAAACGTGGCAATTGAACATCCTCCAAGAAATTGGTGTTTTAAAAGTTTGAACGGCATTTGAACGGAAAAAACATCGAAGTACCCTCTGGTAAACTAACATAACTATAAGAAATCACCATTGTTAATGGGAAAATTCACTATAAATGGCCATTTTCAATAGCTATGTTGACATAACCAGAGGGTATTTCTGAAGCTGCGCCAACTTGGCTCCCCCGCCCCAAACAAGGAGCGGAACCATCTGGGATCCAGTTCGTCGATCCTTCGACCTGCGAACGGTCGAAGAATTTTCGACCAGTAGTGATACTTCGTATAGTCATTTAGTCGATCTCATATTCATATGGAGCTTGTATATCCACTAAAATATGAATAGAACATATTTAGTCAACTCTCATATTTCATACATTTGGTATATCCACATGTAATAGCGAAATATCCCAGTCATATTTCTAGTCATTCATATTTAGTATCCAGATGTAATAGCAAAATATCCCTTTTTTTGGGCTGGGCTTGAAAAGTCTTGAAATGGTTGACCCGGTCGGATGGTTGAATCGCAAACATGGCGCAAAAAAACTACGCATTTTGCAGGTGTAAAATGTGGTAATCCCTGAGGAATGGGGAACGTCTGAAAAATTGGTTCTATACATCATAAACCAATTACCTTTTCCCAGAGTGATCCTCCAAGTTACATACCCACAAAAAAAAAAAACTGATAGAATTCGTGGGTTTCAATGAGACACGAAGAAGAAAACAAAATCTCATTACACAAACCTGGTTGCATATTCGGAAAAAACACATGCAAATCAAACAAAGACTTAACCTCTGGTAGTCAAACATTTATTTATTCTATGTGTATATATATATAGTTCATTTTCCGATTAAAACATATTCAAACCTCCATTTCATTCAGGGATTTTCCACTTGTTTCTGTGAACCTGGTAAGTCAGCCCCCACACAAAAAACATCCATCCCGGGCCGTCCAAGAGAATCTCTCCGGAGTCA